AATGGGCAAGAAGAGATGGGGCAGACAGTGAGGTTTGTGTGTAGGGAAAGTGCATGTTTCCTGTCGGATCACCTGGAAGTACGGAAAAGCACTGAACCCCACCAATCTTAACCTATGCCCCATCAACTTGCTCCTCTTTTCCTCCCAACTCTTTGAGCATCTAGTCTGCAAATTCTCGATCCTCTTCAGTCTGCATTTTGTTCTCAGCACTCCACAGAAACTGCTCTCCTAAAACTCACAAACAATCTAACAGCTAAACCCAACAGACACTATTCTGTACTCATGCTCCTGGACCTCTCTGCTGCCTTTGACACAGTGAGCCACCTCCTCAAAAAATTCCACTCCACTGGTCTCCATGACTGTACTAATCGCTGGTCCTCATCCTACCTATCTCACAGAATCTTCAGCGTCAATTACAATCTCACTACCCCCCTCTCCTCTTCCTTTCTCCATCAGGGTCCCCCAAGGTTCTATTCTTGAACCTCTCCTAGTCTCGATCTAAACCTCCTCCCTGGGTCAGTTCATAGCCTCCCATGGCTTACAATACCATTTCAACGCTGCTGACACTCAAATCTCTCTACCCCAGAGCTCACTCCATCAGTCTCCACAAGCATCATTAATCTACTAAACAGACATATTGGCCGGGATGTCACACCACTTCTTTTCCAGAGTCTCTCCCATCCTATGGAATTCACTACCCCAATCTGTCTGACTGTCTCCCACTCTGTCTACATTTAGACGATCCCTGAAAACCAATCTCTTCAGACAAGCGTTTCCTGTCCCCACCTAATATCTGTACTTTATTTTCTCTATCAGATCATCCCCCATAGGTATCAATTATCATAGTTGTATCAATTAACCCTCCCTTTCCTACTGTATTAAATTGTATTGTAACAGTACTGTCTGCCCTCACGTTGTAAAGCGCTGCGCAAACTGTTGGTGCTATATCAATCCTGTATAACAATATTACCTGGCATGAATAAAAGCGCAGATTGTAAAGAACATCCAATGACCCTGGACGTGGCAAACATCTCATTACATTTAACAATTTGCTACCTAGCAGTTTTTAAATTTGTAATTTTTCCTAAACCATTTTAGGACTAGTATAGACAGCTTTGCTTGCAGTTGCAGTGAGGACAGTGGCAGCCTACAGTGCTCCCATTTTACTCACCACCTCAAACAGAACTATACAATACTACGTGTCTTCCCATCTGTCGAAGATGACATCTTTGCTGCCGTTTTAATGTTGCCAAGGTGCTGCATATGTGGCTAGCTATGACACCGGCCATTTGAGTGCTCAAAAGCACATTGGCATTCATAGAGACATGCCTTGAATTTAGCATACACTGCATATGCACAGGTAGGCAAACTGTAACTGAACACACTGCAAAAAACAAGTAAGGCTTTTTAAATAAGTAATTTTTAACATTTATTGAACATTGACAACGTGTGCTTTCTTTTAGAAAATGGGTTGGGTTTTGCTCACATTTACACCTAAACTTCATTATAAAAAGTGATCTCCTTACATAAAGAATGTTTTACAAGTTAGTTTCCTGCGTACTGCTCTGTGCTGAAGTTAAAATGCATACTCGTTTAGAGATCTTTAACATTCTACTGTGGTGCCCTCTATTGAAGGAAAAATGTAATGAAACTAAATACCAAAGCAAAGCTGGTGTGCATGCAAGAGGCAAATCAATGCTGTCTGGTGCCATGTAATGTATTTATTTCAGATCCTTATATAACACCGTCAATTTACGCAGCACTTTACATATATATAGTACATTCACATCAGTCCCTAACCTTCAAGGGGCGTATAATCTAAGGTCCCTAACTTACATTCATATATACACATATTGGGGCCAATTTAGACAGGATTCAATTAACCTACCAGCATATCTTTTTGAGTGTGGGAGGAAACCCCACACAGGCACAGAGAGAACATGCAAACTCCAGGCAGGTGGTGCCGTGGCTGGGATTTGAACCAACAATCCTAATTCTGCCAGGCGGAAGTGCTAAATATTTAGCCACTGTGCTGCCCCCATGTAATGTACACTACAAAGGTTTTTCTCATGTTTAGCTTTCAGTATAGATATAAACCATACCTGAATGACATTTAGTTTGCTAAACCATGTGTATTATATAGAATTGCTATTTTTTGGCAATAAAACACTTACTTTCTCCTTTTTTTTCCCCATCCTTTGTATTATTTCAGTGATTATTTCTTAAAGCCATTTGCTGCATGCATACATTAACTCTTGTGATGGATACATGGCATTTCTTAGGGCAGGTATTCTGATGGTGACAACAGTGGAACATACCTTTGTAATATGCAGTAAAACAACCATTTGTTTCTATTGGAAGCCCCTGTGATATGATGACCAAGCAGCACAATTTAGATACAGGTATAGAAAGTTGTAACCCTATAACAGGAAGTGCATAAACAATAACCTTTATGGCAGGATCGCCAAGTAAAATTTTAATGAGAGTTGCAGATTTAAAAAGATTGAAAATTATTTTTTCAAATTAAAATAAAGAAGACCTTGCACCTAAAAAGCAAGGTTTGCTTTTCAATGCCCCCCCCCCTCCCCTCCTTTTTTTTTTTAAAGGTTAGTAAAAAGTTAAAAAAACATCTGTTGGTTAGATAAAATACATAACCTTCCCCCAAATTCTGCCCATGGTGTGTAGGCAGGCAACTGTGATGTCATTCTCCTTTCAGAAAGATCTAAATCTTGTGACAAGGCGCTCCCAACACTGCTGCAGCATCTTCTTATCTGACTTGGAGTACTCACCATTCCCCATCACCTACTGCACTATGGAAGCCAAGGGAAAGGTAAGCAAAATATTTAACTTTTTCCTTCTACAGGTTTTTTTTTACTTTTTAAATATGTCTTCACTCTACCTTGCTAAAGTTAAAAGTGGACATTGAATTAAGTGCAAGGTCCCTTTTTACAGATTAAAGTTTATATAAAATTTGAATGATGGAGTTTACCTCTATGTTACCCAGATCACACAACCTCCACTAAAGTTGGCCATACAGTACATGGTTAGTTTTTGTCTTCTTCAGACTCCTCCATCCACACACACAAGGTGGATGGAGGAATTTCACCCCAGAAGACATTGTATTCTGACAGGAGCACCCACTGATTCACCACAGCCCCCAATTAGGATAAAACTTTCCAACATGTCCCTTTGACAGAAGTTGATCGACAACCACTAACTCCTCAAAATTCAGCCAGTCTCTGATCTGGCCAAATTCCAAGTGTATGCTCAGCTTTATGGGAAGTATAGAACGTAAACGCTGCTCAGGTGATGGGTATTTACCTGAATGCCATGGGGTAAGCACCATTAGAAAAAGATGGCAGCCACGAACCACTTACTGGTTGCCGAACATACAACAGATATACAGATCTAAGTCTAGACATTGGAAAAACACAAGTTCAATATGTATAAATACTTTATTTAATATAACTCACATCAGTTTGTAGAAAAATCACATGGTCTCTAGGTTCTATAAAGGAGGCAATTACCCATCTAAAAATACCAGAAATCATCCAGCAAGAACAAGTGAATATATGCATTTGAAATAAGTATGCAGACAGTGGCAGAAAATCAGAGGTACGTCAATCTATCACAATAACAGGGAACAGAGCTGCTATGGGGCCTATGGGTGAAAAAATCAATCCTGAAAAGGGGCCACTTTCTGGCATAATGGATCATTCAAGATCTGCAGAGCAAGGCTAAACATTTCTGTCCAGCAGGAGTACGACTCTTCTTCACTGATCACTATGATGAGGCCATAAAGGAAGCTATACACTGGATTTGAATGTAAATGTGTTTTAAGCTGTCTGTTTCCCAATTAGGAAATTTTCCCAAATTCCCATGCCAGTGACTTTTTGCTGCAGTTTTGGGAAACTACAAGTTTGCTACATTATCAACCAGCTTTCTGAATCTCCTTTCTGGGGACACAGGCAATCTCTGCATAGGAGTTCTCTGCTCTGTCCACCTGCTACAACGTAACACTCACTGCCATGCATTTTACATTGTAGAAAACAAGGATCAGGATAGAAATAATAATTTCTAGCTTTCTTACAGGAGGCCACAGCTAACACCTCTAGCAGGGCCGTTTTACTAATTGAGTCCCTAAAAATGTACAAAGGCACATAATGATTCATCCAACCAGCATCCACCCAAGGATTAAACCTTAATACCACCAATATCTAAATTCCAAAACATGTACATTACCATAGTAGGCAAACACTAAGACATTTTATCACCAGTTTTGAAAAACAAAATTGCATATAGATAAGTATTTGTATTCTGGTAATAAATCCTAGCATGACCTAATTCTACATGTATCCTAACGTTTGATGAATTTTGGTGATCAGCTGTTATGCAACTGGACCAGTAAACTAATACACAACAGAGACATGGTCAAGTCTGTCCAAAGGTTACAGAGTTTCTGATGATCAAACATTTTATTAGAAACATTTAAAAACTGTATTAGCCTACTAGGCAGATTATTAAAAGTTTGCATTATCAGGAAGACAGCTGCACAGGTTCTGGAAATGTTATAACCCATAGCTGCCACTCAGAAAGATACTCTCAGACTTCAAAAGACTGAATAGATGCTGTGGGTTACACATCACATCGATACTCTTGGAATCACTTTTATAAATAAGCACCAAGAAAAGACTGAAAAGGTCTCACACAGCCAGTTCACGGCTGTATTCTAATGAATTGTAAACAGTGGTTCTTCCAAAGTGCGCATTGTTCAATAATTCTGTACGATAAATATTGCATAGAAAATAACCTCATGAGAAGTGCGTAGAACAGACTTTCTGAATCCTGTGAATTTTAACAGCTTTGTTACACAAGGCTCCATTTAGGTAGCTTGGCATTGTAACTACACAAAGCCAGTGAAAGCAGTAGCTGTGCGGACTGAAGTCTATCAGGAAGACAAAGAAGACCCTCTGGATGGACTGGAGGATCCTGCAGCACAATCAAGTACTAGGCTGATGTGGTGACCAATTCTGGCTGTCGAGAAATCCTGATGTGGTACCATAGCCTGATGGATATCCCTCAGACACAGCACTCTCCCTGATGTCACCAGGGCTGGACGATCCGTAGCAACACCAACAGAGTGATTTCAGCAGACGGGTTCTGATGACACGTGTACATAAGACGAACATAATGCAGTTTGCGCCACCCTGGAAGCTATTTCCAATACCCTGCAAATAGGGAAAAACAAAAAATGATCAGAACATGAAAAAGTCATAACATTTTTCATTGATGCACTCACACATGGGGTGGTCTCCTAAAGTTATTCTCAACCAAAAATGGAGCTAAAATTGCAACACTTTACTTGAATACTGAAATACCAAGTAGAGGGATATTGAGTATTGTAAGAGAATATATTTGAGTACATTTTGAAAATGTACTCTAGGGTACTTTTCAGCCTGAATGAATGAATTTCCATTACTTCTTTCAGCAATGGTGCTGAATGCCCTGCTCTGCATCTAGTGCCTAGGTAAGGACATAGTAAGGAATGGTTAGAACCACTGTCACATTTTTTTCTATGCCTTTGTCCCCTTGGAGAGATTTCCCTTTACTTTCTGCCTTACAGAAAGTGAGGGAAAATGTCTGCAAAGTCAGAGGATATTCCCTCCAAGACAGCTGTCACCGAGAAAAAAAAGAGAAAAAATGTCCCTCTATTCCTGTTTTGGACTTTCCTGGTGACAATGATCACAGAGGGGTGAATCTGCCCAGCAAGGATAGAGACAGAGGAGACAATTCACTAAGCAGTATCTTACCACATCCAAGTATGTGGTAACCACACTGCATTTAAACAAAAACATTGGCATTCACTAAAAAATGCTACTAAAATAACACAAGTTATTTTATTAAGTCATGCGGTATTTTAGTAGTGAAAACATGCGGTAATGTATCAGCTCTCAGCAGGTCCCCTGCTAACAGCTGAACGTAAAAAAGAATTGCCGGCAATGATAAATTAATTTAAAAAAAATAGCGGGGGTTCCTCCCATCCATACCAAGACCTTAAGGTCTGGTATGAATTTCAAGAGGAACCCCCATGCCAAAATAATAAAAAAAAAATGTATGTGGGGTCCCCCCCAAAAATCCATACCAGACCCTTATTTGGGCATGCAGCCCAGCAGTTTAAGAAAGATGAGCAAGCACTCTTCCCCCATCCTGAACCATACCAGGCCACCTGCCCTGAACATGGGGGAGGGTGTTTGGGGGCGGCCTCTGCCAACCCCCATCCAAAGCACCTTGCCCCCATGTTTTTCCCCCCACCACCCTGGCCAGTGGGCTGGGGGGGGCTTATCGAAATTTGGAAGCCCCCTTTAACAAGGGTCAGATCGCGGCACCCCCCTCATGCAAATGAGTATGGGGTACGTGATACCCCTACTCATTCACCCAAAAAAAGGTGTAATGCAAAAAACACAGGAGGCAGTTTTTGACATGTCCTTTATTAAATAAAAAAAAAAAAAAAAGTCCCCCAGTGTAGATCCATATTCAATCACAACACCCGACATCACTGCATGCTGGGTCGACGACATCACAAGGGGGCAGGGTCACCAGGTGACATTACCGGGTGGCCCCGGCCCTTAGTTAGGACCTGTCAGGCATTGAGAGACGATCCTTTTTTTTTTTCCCCCTCGAATCGGCGGTGACGGCAGGTATTGTGGTTGACTATGGATCTACACCGGGGACATTCTTGTTGTTTTAATAAAGGACTTCGCAAAAACTGCCTCCTGTGTTTTATACATTACACTTTTTTTTGGTGAATGAGTAGGGGTACCATGTCCCCTATACTCGTTCACATAGGAGGGGGGGGGGGCAGGATCGGGGGCCCTGTTGTTGAAAGGGGCTCCCAGATTCCGATTTCAGACCCCCACAACTACCGGCCAGGGTTGTGAGGAAGAGGCCCTTGTCCCCATGGGGACATGGTGATTTGGGGGGGAGGGCGGAGCCCTATAGTTTATGGGGGGTGCTTGCTTGTCCCCCAACCTTTCCTGACCTGCCGGGCTGCATGTTTGTATAAGGGTTTGGTATGGATTTTGGGGGGGGGACCCTGCACCATTTTTTTAATGATTTTGGCGTGGGGGTTCCCTTCAAATCCATACCAAACTCGAAGGGCTTGGCATTGATGGGGGGGGGGACCCCACGCCATTTTTGTTCTCAATTTTTAATTGCAGGAAATTGTGTTTTTTTACATTCAGCTGTCAGCAGGGAACCCCACTAACAGCTGATGACTGATCGGTTAAGGACGCGGCACCCACTCACTCCTTAACAACCATGATAGTTACTGGTTTGTTAAGGATACCGGTGGCCGCCCACTCCTTAACAACCATTACATATTGCATGCCTCAACCACTACTTAACCACTTGCCCTCCTGAGGATTTACCCCTCTTTCTGACCAGGCCATTTTTGCGTTATTGCACTGTGTTACTTTAACTGACAACTGCGCAGTCATGCAACGCTGCACCCAAATTAAATTTACGTCCTTTTTCCCCACAAATTGGGCTTTCTTTTGGTGGTAGTTGATCGCTTGTGTGTTTTTTATTTTTTGTGCTATAGAAAAAAAAAAAAAAAGCAGAGAATGTAAAAAAAAACAAAAACAAAAACAAAAAAAAAACAAAAACAATATTTTTAACTTTTCGCTATTAAACATGTCCAGTAAAAAAATTTAAAAAATCAAATTTGGTCATAAATTTATGCCAAAATGTATTCTGCTACATGTTTTTACTAAACAAAAATTCCAATACGTGTAAATTAATTGGTTTACGTGAAAGTTTACAAATGCCGTGCGCCCCCTATGCGAAATCACACACACACACACTTTTGCACCCCTGTGCCACCCTGTAGCAGTATTTCTGCTATAGGGCGGTCGGGAAGTGGTTATTTACCACATGCATTGAATTATTTATTTCCTTCTGTGAATTGACTTTAAGGTCTTCTTATGCAGTATTTACCGAGCATCCCTGCTATTTGCGGTAAATACCACTAGCAATAGTGAATTGATATTTTCAGTATTGCATGCGATTTGTGGGCACCTGACCGACATAACGCATGTGATAACCTTTAGTAAATTGTCCCCAGAATGCACTTCCCCATTCTAGCCATGATTAAAAGAAAAAAAGGTTTTGGCTTTATATACACTTAAGCGCTTCTAAAAATGTTTTCTGGTACCTTTATTAGATTATCATTTTGAAAGTTATAATATTCTAAAATCAAAGACTTAATAGTAAGTCCTCATGTGCACTGGGCGTTTTTACAGCTGCAGTTTTGGGCATCAGACATTTTTTTTTTTTTTTACAGCCAGTAAACTCTCCAGCATGTTATCCTATGTATCCAAGGCTTTTATCAGTGTTTTTTTTCAGGAGAGTTTTCAGGCTGAAAAAACCCCCCCAGAACTAATGCGTTTGAAGAGGTGTTTTTCAGCTGTAAAAAAGTTCTAACGCTAAAAAATTGCTGCAAAAAGCAAAAGCAAAGGCTATTCAACCTTTATGAATGTTTTTGAGCCTCAAGCTTTTGTGGGAGTATAATTTTGCTAAACAAACGCTAAAAATCACAAACGCTGAAAAACGCAAATCAAAAAACACTAAGAAACACAACAGAACTCACATTTTTGACGCGGCATTCTACAGCTAACGCTACTGGCGTTTTTATAAAGTCCAGTGTACAGGAGGCCTTATTGTGTAGACCATGTGTCAATACCCAATGTGCTATAGTTTCTTTACAATAATTCAAAGGGGGGGGATTATTAAAATGTGTCTGAGACAAGTTCTATACTGACTGGTGCCATTGCCTATAGCAACAAATCAGTTTCTATCTTTCATTTTCCCCCCCCCCCCCCCCCCCCCCCAGTTTATAAAATTAAATTTAAAAATTTTGGCTGCTCTCCACTTGAGACGAAGTTAAGACAAAATATGTCCCAGGCACTTTTTACTAGTTCCTAAATGTTTATGTATTTAGGTAAGACCGACTAAGTAGGGCTAATGAAATCTCTTACAAAATGATCATATTCAATAAAGTACTGGGTCTTGTTTTGGAGTCCTTTCCTAATAGTGTCCTCAAAAAGGACCTAATAAAGGACAACCATGAAATGGGCCCTGGCATCATTGATAGTGATTTTAAAGTTTAAATATGTAGAAATATGGAGTACAGCCAGGGGCGGACTGACAACTCATGTGGCTCCCTGGCAATAGGGGATCATGGGGCCCCTGTGTCCTTGCCCAAACTCAAAAAAAACCTATGTAAACTGTACCAGGGGCATCTCATGGGGCCCCCTTCTGACCCCGGGCAGTGCCTGAGTTTCCAAATGGTCAGTACGCCCCTGAGTAGAGCAGAATTGGCAACCCTGAATTCTGCATAAGCTGTACAGAGGGATTATATAACCTGAACTCATGCCTTACTTTCAGCCCTCTGCAGAAGTGCTGCAAAGCCCAGAAACCCTGCGCAACCTAACCAATCAGCCACGAATCAGCCCCTTTCTGCCTGCTCAATAATGGGCAGTTTCAGTGGCCAACAGGAGGGTGCACAAAGGTTGAACAGACTTTGACACTATCTGGAATTGTCAAACTGACTGGGACACCTGGGGTTATTAAAGCCCAAATCCAGGCAAATAAAAGCATATGAGCTCACACTGCAAAGGGTAATTGCTAGCTAATGTCTAAGGGAACAATTAAAGGAAATATACTTACCCGATCCTCCACTCTCACCTGCAGCTACACCAGTCTCTAAAGCTTCTGCACCCCGTCGCTCCAGCGGTCTAGTGTCCTGACATCACCAAGACCAGAGCTGGGTCCATAGCCCTGAATGTGAGGATGCCAAGGGACAATCAATCATGGATCATGGGGGAGCGTGTCTGCTGTGAGGGCAGAGGATCAGTTACCTTTTTCTTCTCTCCCCCTAGACATAACAAGCTATTAACCCTTGCAGTGTAGGCACCGCCCCACTGCAAAAGAGAATGTTTTTCTCTGCTTGGAGTTGGGCTTTAAGAAATCATTTTATTTTTTAGACTTTTCTTTTTGTTGATAGGTGTGCTTCGAAGCTTCCAGGGCATAAATAAATGTTGAATTTAACCCTATTCACACAGACAGCCTACCCGCTAAGGTGATTTAATTTTTTTTTTCTCTTGCATTTTGTTTTGTTTACTAGCTAAATCCCAATAGCTGCCAGTAGCCTTAACTAACCGACGATCCCATATCAAAGTCTTCACAAATGTGGCTTCCTGGTCGTTTGGAACACCTTCACTGTAGCTTTAGAAGGAGGTTTCAGAGCACACAATTATAATGGGCAGCACAGTGGCTAAATGGTTAGCACTTCCGCCTGGCAGTACTAGGGTTGTTGGTTTGAATCCCAACCACGGCACCACCTGCCTGGAGTTTGCATGTTCTCCCTGTGCCTGCATGGGTTTCCTCCGGATACTCCGGTTTCCACCCACACTCCAAAGACATGCTGGTAGGTGAATTGGCTCCTGTCTAAATTGGCCCTAGTATTATTATTATTATTATACAGTATTTATATATCGCCAAAGGGTTTGCTCAGCGCTGTACAGTAGCAAGGGGGACAGAACATGAGACAAGACAGTAACAATACAATACACGAGGGGTTCGAGGGCCCTGCTCTTTCGAGCTTACAATCTAGGAGGGAGTGGAAAGTGGTACAGGAGGAAATGGCTGTGGGGGATGGAGTGGTGGGAGGAGTGGAGGAGGTTAGTTGTTAGGTGAGGTCAGGTGTTAGGTGAGGTTGTGGTAGGCTTCCCTGAAGAGGAGGGTTTTCAGGGTGCGCCTGAAGGTGAGGAGGGTGGCAGTCTGATGGATTGGGGTAGGGAGTTCCAGAGGATGGGGGAAGTCCTAGAGAAGTATTGCAATCGGGCGTGGGAGGAGGAGACCAGGGAGCTAGAGAATAGGAGGTCCTGTGAGGAGCGGAGGGAACGGGTAGGGTAGTATTTGGGTATCGGGTCATTTATGTAGTTCGGGGCGGCATTGTGAATGGCTTTGTAGGTGAGAGTAAGCAGCTTGAATTTGATGCGTTGGGAAATCGAGAGCCAATGAAGGGATTGGCAGAGGGGGGAGGTAGATGAGTCTAGCTGCTGAGTTTAGGATCGACTTGAGTGGGGATAGCGTTTGTTTGGGTAGGCCAGTGAGAAGGGAATTGCAATAGTCCAGGCGTGAGATGATGATGGAGTGTACGAGTTGTTTGGTGGTGTCTGGGGTGAGGAATGTGCGTATCTTAGAGATGTTGCGGAGGTGGAGCCTGCAAGATCTAGATAGCAATTGGATATGGGGTAGGAAGGAGAGGTGGGAGTCCAGGGTGACACCCCGGACTTTGGCGTGTGGGGTGGGAGAGATGGTGGCGTTGTTAGTAGTGATGGAGAGGATGGGGGGGGGGGGCGTGGGGAAGACCAGGAGCTTGGTTTTGGATAGGTTAAGTTTGAGGAAATGGAGCGACATCCAGTCTGATATGTCGTTTAGGAGATGGGCGATGCGGGCGGAGAGTGAGGGGGTGAGGTGGGGGGTGGAGAGGTAAATTTGGGTGTCGTCGGCATAGAGGTGGTAATTGAAGCCGTGGGAGTGAAAAGGTTTGCCAAGGGAGGAGGTACAGATGGAGAAAAGAAGGGGTCTGAGGACAGAGCCTTGGAGTACCCCGACAGAGAGGGGGAGGGAGGGGGAGGTGGCAGTGTTGTAGGTGACGCTGAAGGAGTGTTGGGAAAAGTAGGAGGAGAACCAGGAGAGAGCAGCGTCCCTGATGCCAAGGGAGTGCAATTTGGCAAGGAGGAGAGGGTGGTCAACAGTGTAAAAAGGCTGCGGAGAGGTTGAGGAGCAGGAGGATAGAATAGTAGCCATGGGCTTTGGTGGTTAGCAGGTCGTTGGTGATTTTAAGAAGGGCAGTAGAGTGTAGGGGACGGAAGCCAGACTGTAGAGGGTCGAGGAGGTTGTTATCAGTGAAGTGGACACTTAGGCGATTGTAGGCCAGCCGCTCAAGGAGCTTGGAAGTGAAAGGCAGCAGGGAGATGGGTCTAAGGTTGTTAAGGTTAGTGGGGTCAATGGAAGGTTTTTTGACTATGGGGGTGATGTGTGCGTGCTTTAGAGGGGAGGGGAAGGTGCCGGTGGAGAGGGAGAGATTGAAGATGTGGGTGAGGGAGCGAATGATGTATATGAATGTAATTTAGGGACCTTAGATTGTAATCCCTTTGAGGATTAGGGACTGATGTGAATAAAGTGCTGCATTAAATTGATGGCGCTATATAAGTACCTGCAATAAATAAATATGATAACAGGCAGAGGCTGCCCAGAAGCACTGGATTTTATACTTTAATAGAGTTGACTTTCTGAATGTAAACAGCTGCAATGTTCCCTGGACATTATTACTTCGCGGAGTGCAATGAGCTGCAATTTACATTTGATTATTAAACCATTACTTACGTGTAGTACAAGGAGGATGGGGTTGTGCACTGCTGGAGACTCACAAAGAGTCAGGATGAAGCGGATGGTGCTCCAGATACGGAGAAAGATAAAGATAACTGGGATGAAGATCAGCTTTTTGTCAGCTATAGTTCTGGGCTGAACAGGAGCAGTGGACAGGATTGGACGATATTCGGATAAAGCCTCATGCTGGAGAGACAGAAGGAGGTCACATTATGAATGATACGAGCACATGAACATCAACTGTCTATAGACTGGAGGAAGACCGATAAACTTTCCATATATAAACTATGTCGGAGTAAAGGTTTCTCCATTATGGCTCATACCAGGGGCGGACTGACAACTCATGGGGCCCCCGGGCAATAAGGGATCATGGGGCCCCTGTGTCCTTGCCCAAACTCAAAAAAGCCTATGAAAAAGGTACCAGGGGCATCTCATGGAGCCCCCTACTGACCCCGAGCCCTCGGGCAGTGCCGAGTTTCCAAATGGTCAGTCCGCCCCTGGCTCATAATATACGAGACTAGCAGCTCCATGCAGATTCTCAGCCGATGAAGAAGGCAGTCTGAAGCAGGGTGCTGTGATGTTTTCAGGATGCTATGTACAGCACCCTGCTGGTCCATTCTGCAAGTCATGATCTGCTTGCATTGCATAGAGAAGCACAGTGACCCAGTGATAACCTCACTGGGTATAATATATGTTATCTAAAAGAAATGCAAATGTATGCAAATGTTATCACCAGCAGAAGAAAAATATAAGTAGACTAAACTTCCCAGTGACTCGTAGCTTCAATTACAAAATTGGAACCACAAGCACCCAGTAACATAAAAGGATTAATATTTACCACGTGCTGTTGTTCCTCCTGCTGACCCTTCTGTCACTACCGTGATCTGTAATTGTAGTGGCAAGCAAAAGAAACCATAGCACCCAGCAGGAGACCAGCTATCCAACACACTTGCCTGTTGAAAAATTAAAGCCAGCCATACATGGATCAAAATTCAGTTGGTTCAGTAGGGACTGGCCAAATTTCCATCCATGTATGGGCAGGCTGGTTGTACAATCTACCTATCAAACTTCTGTACAACCAGTCTGTTGGGCTTTTCCTCAACGAATAGTGCCACTGACTATAACCTGCAACGCTGATCTATGTATTCTGATGGCAGATCTCCCCACTATCAGAAAACAATGACTCAGTGGGTAGGATTCCCCTATCCACATTGAGTGTGTGTTTGGGGGAATCAGGTCATTTTTTCTTCGTTCCACCTGCTGGTTGAATGAAAAAAAAAAAAAAAAAGATTAAGCTATAGGCTTCCTAAGCATTAAACTTGTACAAGTATGAACAGAATATGTAGTCATGGACTTTGTGTGGACAAAAAGAGATTTGCTGGGATGTGGACATATAGCACACAGACTGGTTTTCTCAATTTTCAGCACTGTCGCACTTTGAATGACAATTGCGTGGTCATGCAACATTGTACCCATGTGAAGTTTTTATAATTTTTTCACACAAATAGAGCTTTCTTTTGGTGGCATTTACTTGCCGCTGGGTGTTTTATTTTTTGTGCTATAAACAAAAAAGTGCAAAAAAAGTTTTTCTTTGTTTCTATTATAACATTTTGCAAACAGGTAATTTTTCTCCTTCACTGATGTGCATTGATGAGGCAGCACTGATGGGCACCGACAGGCAGCACTGATATACGGCACTGATGAGGTGGCATGGATAGGCAGCACTGATGGGCACTGATAGATGGCACTGATGAGCTGGCACTGATATGAAACAATGATGGCCACTGATAGGCGGCACTGATGGGTAGCATTGACTGACGGCACTGATGGGTGGTACTGATGGGCAGCACTGATAATCAGTGCCCTGATGATCGGTGCTGATCCGTCCTCTGACAATTGCCGGTTCTCGGCAGTACTTTCCTCATGCTGTGACAGCACGAGGAAAATGCAGCCGATAACCAACAACTGCATTTACCGGTGATCTGCTGTGTTATTGGACACAGCTGATCACGTGGTAAAAAGCCGCTGTCATTGGCCTTTTACCACATTGCCAGGGGCGTGCGGGAGGGTGCATTCTGGGAGGACATCATATGACACCCTCCAAGAACAGGACAACCACGCTGTAGCAGTCATTCGGCTATAGCATGGTTGGCAAGTGGTTAAACATGTGGGCTTAGTCAGTAATGTGGCGCAGGAAGTAAATATAAGCAAAGTGCAGCAACCAATAATGACCTGGAGTTTGCATGTTCTTCCTGTGCCTCCGTGGGTTTCCTCTGGGCACTCCGGTTTCCTCCCACACTCCAAAGACATGCTGGTAGGTATATTAGCTCCTGTCTAAATTGGCCCTATTATGTGTATCTATGAATGTGAGTTAGGGACCTTAGATTGTATGCCCCTTGAGGGTTAGGGACTGATATGAATGTACAATATATATGTAAAGCGCTGTGTAAATTGACGGCGTTATTCTAGTACCTGAAATAAAATAAATAAATGACCAATCATCATTTGCTAATCCGACCCCGGTAATGCATAATATACAGTGGGGCAAAAAAGTATTTAGTCAGCCACCAATTGTGCAAGTTCTCCCACTTAAAAAGATGAGAGAGGCCTGTAATTGGCATCATAGGTAGACCTCAACTATGAGAGACAAAATGAGAAAAAAAATCCAGACAATCACATTGGCTGATTTGGAAATAATGTATTTGCAAATTATGGTGGAAAATAAGTATTTGGTCACCTACAAACAAGCAAGATTGCTGGCTCTCACAGACCTGTACCTTCTTCTTTAAGAGGCTCCTCTGTGCTGCACTCATTACCTGTATCAATGGCACCTGTTTGAACTTGTTATCAGTATAAAAGACACCTGTCCACAGCCTCAAACAGTCACACTCAAAACTCCACTATGGTGAAGACCAAAGAGCTGTCGAAGGACACCAGAAACAAAATTGTAGACCTGCAGCAGGCTGGGAAGACTGAATCTGCAATAGGCAAGCAGCTTGGTGTGAACAAATCAACTATGGGAGCAATAATTAGAAAATGGAAGACATACAAGACCATTGATAATCTCCCTTGATCTGGGGCTCCACGCAAGATCTCACCCCGTGGGGTCAAAATAATCACAAGAATGGTGAGCAAAAATCCCAGGACCACACGGGGGGGACCTAGTGAATGACCTGCAGAGAGCTGGGACCAACGTAACAAAGGCCACCATCAGTAACACACTACGCCGCCAGGGACTCAGATCCTGCAGTGCCAGACGTGTCCCCCTGCTTAAGCCAGTACATGTCCGGGCCCGTCTGAAGTTTGCTAGAGAGCATTTGGATGATCCAGAAGAGGATTGGGAGAATGTCTTATGCTCAGATGAAACCAAAATAGAACTGTTTGCTAGAAACACAACTCGTCGTTTTTGGAGGAGAGAGAATGCTGAGTTGCATCAAAAGAACACCATACCTACTGTGAAGCATGGGGGTGGCAACATCATGCTTTGGGGCTGTTTCTCCGCAAAGAGACTAGGGCGACTGATCCATGTACAGGACAGAATGAATGGGGCCATGTATCTTGAGATTTTGAGTGCAAACCTCCTTCCATCAGCAAGGGTATTGAAGATGAAACGTGGTTGATCCCAAACATACCGCCTGGGCAATGAAGGAGTGGCTTCGTAAGAAGCATTTCAAGGTCCTGGAGTGGCCTAGCCAGTCTCCAGATCTCAACCCCATAAAAAACATTTGGAGGGAGTTGAAAGTCTGTGTTGCCCTGGGACAGCCCCATAACATCACTGCTCTAGAGGAGATCTGCATGGAGGAATGGGCCAACATACCAGCAACAGTGTGTGCCAACCTTGTGAAGACTTTCAGGAAACATTTGACCTCTGTCATTGCCAACAAAGGATATATAACAAAGTATTGAGATGAACTTTTGATATTGACCAAATACTTATTTTCCACCATAATTTGCAAATAAATTCTTTCCAAATCGGCCAATGTGATTGTCTGGATTTTTTTTCTCATTTTGTCTCTCATAGTTGAGGTCTACCTATGATGCCAATTACAGGCCTCTCTCATCTTTTTAAGTGGGAGAACTTGCACAATTGGTGGCTGACTAAATACTTTTTTGCCCCACTGTAAGTAATCTGCTTTATTCAGCCATAAACTGAATTTAGATTTCGATTAAATTTAAAGAGGTAGTAAACACCGCCTGGTGACTTGTACTTAGGTACACGGAATAGCGCCTAAACGCGCACCGTTTAAGATATGTTCACTATTTCTGCAGCCAGTGTAGTCACCGGAATATACGCACGGAGCTCTGAATAGACGTTATACTGAGTATGCCGTCTAAGCAAAGTGCTGTGCTCCGATTGTGCATCGCCAGGACTGATGTCATCGCGGCTCGGCCATTTAAACAGCCGGAGCCCACAAACCCGAAAGAACGAACAGGTGAAGATGGAAGCCCTCTCAGTGGTGACAGGGCATTGCTGGAGGGCTTCCTTTTAAAGTAAGTCTTCCGTAATGTGCTAGCATGCAGCACATACTGTACATTATGCCATTGACTTACAGGGGGAAGTTTTTTTTTTTTTTTTTTTTTTTTTTTTTTTTTTTAACAGCCTCTAATACCACTTTAAGTTACAAAAAACAGAAAATTCCAAAAAGTTGCCGTGCATTACAGTTTTTTTTTTTTATACTAAGACTACAAAGGTAGACATTAAGAGCAACGAATGAAGAATACTATACCGCTCTGCCAATATGCTTCTTTATACGGATGTAGAGAATGGGCAAGACCAGGTAAGCCAGGATCTCCCACACTTTTCCAGCCAGCAGCATCCAGGTGAGCTTGTCTTCCGCATCTATACTGATCCAGCACCAACCCACTGAAACATAGGATGCGTCATATCCAATCTTCTGTAGGCATACTGCAGTGACGGTTATCACCAGCGGAACACCCCAACTGTGGGAGAGAAATGAAAGTATCTGAAGTACAGTCAGCAGATTACTGTAATACCATATTATTATACAGGATTTATAGTGTGCCAACAGATTGCTCAGCGCTTTACAATATAAGGCAGCGGTTCTCAACCTGGGGGTCGCGACCCCTTTGGGGGTCGAACGACCATTTCCCAGGGGTTGCCTAAGACCATCGGAAAACGCATATTTCCGATGGTCTTAGGAACCGAGACACCGCTGCTCTGTCTCGCGATCTGTGGGCGGGATGATATGCTGCCCCTGTAACCTGGCCACACCTCCGGGATCACTCAACAGCTCCGCCTCCTCGCCGCTGATTGGCCACCGGAACTGTAGCTCAGGAGAGGCACACAGGCGGCCAATCACAGGCGAGGAGGTGGAGCTTGGAGAGGAGGAGCCGAGCGGCAGAGCACGCAGATCGAAGAAGATCGAGGGAGCTGCAGGACCGAGTGAAGAGGAGAGAGGCCAGAGAAGGAAGACAGCTGACAGGTAAGTGCAAATTTTGCTTCTGCAGGCTGTAGATGGGAGAGGGAGAGAGCGAGCCCAGGCTGGAGCAGGGGTCAGCAAGGTAAGTATCATTGGTGTCAGTGGGAGGAATAGTGCCCCATCATTTGTGTCACTAATCCCAACGATGGGGCACTATTCCTCCCCCCACTGACACCAACGATGGGGCACTATTCCTCCCCCCACTGACACCAATGATAGGCACTATTCCTCCCCCCACTGACACCAACAATGGGGCACTATTCCTCTCACTGACACCAACGATGGGGCACTATTCCTCCCACTGACACCAACGATGGGGCACTATTCCTCCCACTGACACCAACGATGGGGCACTATTCCTCCCACTGACACCAACGATGGGGCACTATTCCTCCCACTGACACCAACGATGGGGCACTATTCCTCCCTCTGGCACCAATGATAGGCACTATTCCTCCCACTGATACCAATGATGGGGCACTATTCCTCCCACTGACACCAATGATGGGGCACTATTCCTCCCACTGACACCAATGATGGGGCACTATTCCTCCCACTGACACCAATGATGGGGCACTATTCCTCCCACTGACACCAATGATGGGGCACTATTCCTCCCACTGACACCAATGATGGGGCACTATTCCTCCCACTGACACCAATGATGGGACACTATTCCTCCCACTGATACCAATGATGGGACACTATTCCTCCCACTGATACCAATGATGGGACACTATTCCTCCCACTGACACCAATGATGGGACACTATTCCTCCCACTGACACCAATGATGGGGCACTATTCCTCCCACTGACACCAATGATGGGGCACTATTCCTCCCACTGATACCAATGATGGGGCACTATTCCTCCCACTGACACCAACGATGGGGCACTATTCCTCCTCCCACTGATACCAACGATGGGACACTATTCCTCCCACTGACATCAGTGATGGGGGCGCTAGTCCTCCCACTGATACCAATGATGGGGCACTATTCCTCCCACTGACACCAATGGCGGGACACTATTCCTCCCACTGATACCAACGATGGGACACTATTCCTCCCACTGATACCAATGATGGGGCGCTAGTCCTCCCACTGATACCAATGATGGGGCACTATTCCTCCCACTGCAAAATTACAGTTCTGAAGTAGCAACGAAAATAATTTTATGGTTGGGGGTCACCACAACATGAGGAACTGTATTAAGGGGTCGCGGCGTTAGAAAGGTTGAGAACCACTGATATAAGGGGAGACAATACAGCAACAATACAAAGGTTAGGAGGGCCCTGCTCCTTGGAGCTTACAATCTAAGAGGAAGGGGCTGGTGCTACAAAAGGTAATAACTGTGGGGGATGGACTGGTAGGAGGAATAGAAGATTCCATTATTAGCTGAGGGCAGGATAGGCTTCCCTGAAGAGATGGGTTTTCAGAGATTGCCTAAAAGTGGGCAGAGTAGGCGATCGTCTGATAGATTGGGCTAGAGAGTTCCAGAGGATGGGGGAGGTTCTGGAGAAGTCCTGGAGACGAGCATAGGAGAAGGAGACAAGGGAGCTAGAGCAGGAGGTCGTGGGAGGAGCGGAGAGTACGGTTTGGGTGATATTTGGAGACAAGATTGGTGCTGTAATTTGGGGCAGAGTTATACATGACTTTATATGTTATGGTTAATCCATGCACATGACACTTCACTGATGAACTAAAAAAAAAAGTCTCCTAAATACCTAAACAGTTGAAAATAAATTTTATTCAGCGGTCATGTGACTCCCAGTACAAAGCAGAACTTCACTCTCTAAATCAACATTGACTATTTTTAATCCTTATGCTGCCAGCATTAGTAAATAGAGAGGAAAGTATATCATTTAACTGTTTTACATTTTTTTCTTTTTTTTTTTGTACCTTAATTCAGTAATTCCTGATTTCCACACTCAATCATGTCATACATCCCAGGAGTCTTCCAAAGAAGGGGAGGAGGGGATTTCTCAGCTAACCACATCCTCCTGTCTGCATGCCTGAGCCAAGGTCAGATAAATTCCAGGAAGTAATTGCTACATGAAACATTTGCCCTTATTCAAGATGGCCATGACCAGAAATGCTAAGGGAGGTGTTTTTCCAAGTGACTTCTCAGTAAAATAAAATATGGAGACATGGATGGATGGGGGAATTTGCTTTGAATATTACAAAAATGAATGAAATAGTGTTTTGGTTCGTGGTGCTCAGATTAAGTATAGTTCTGCTTTAATCACACTAGAGGGTGTGTCAACCTGTCATTTCACAGGCTGTAGAACTGTCCTGTTGTCCCCAGGGCTGGCAAGAAGTGTACATGGTTAGCATTAGAAACAAATGAGTAATGTCAGTGATACTTTTTTTATTTGCACTAACACCAAAATTTATAGGACAAGATTTCCGGGTGTCCCCCCTTTTTCAAGGTCCAAGCAGTACTAAACTCCCAAACAGTATAAAAGACAAAAAAAACAATCAATAACTATTAACATTATGATGAAGCAAATAACTGAGGAAGGGCAATTGATATTTTAGTTTACATGTAATCTTTAAAAGATGAAGAAAGATGAAGAAAAAAAGAGCATACTAATAATTCAAAACACCTATCAGTATATCTTTTCATGTGTAAAACATCATTTCAAAGGAACACTAAAAGTCAAAGTTCATCTCCAACCAAACCTTTTTTTGGTTTTGAGTGTGCTGCAAAGTAGAGATTTCTCCTCGCTTCCTGTCCTGGTAAAAAGTGTTGACTATAACAGGAAATGATGAGAATCTCTCATCGTATCTTTCTGTGATGGTGACCCCAGCTCAGGTGCCACCTCTTCTCCATGCCACTGTCTGGACAGTGTTGCGATAATTATAGTGGCCCAAACAGTGGCAGGTAGAAAAGGTGGTACCTGAGCTGACATCGTCGTCACACAGAGAGATAAACATGAAATCAGAGATGTCCACCCACGTATAACAGTCCAAGGAGCTGTGCTGGAGAACTGGGAGAGGATATCTGATTGACACCCAGAGGCCTGGATGTTGAGGAGAGCACTTGGGACACACAGGTGGGCAAGAGATAAGTAACAAAAATGGTGAAAGGTCTGGGGGATAAAACATATCAAGAATGACTTCAGGAACTTAACATGTACAGTCTGGATGAAAGAAGGGAAAGGGGAGACATGATTGAAACCTTTAAAAAACATCAAGGGGAGTGAATAAGGTTCAGGAGGTCAGTATTTTCAACACGAAACCAAAATCAAGAACACGGGGACATGACCTTAAACTAACTGGAGGAAAGTTCAAAACTAATCTCAGAAAGTACTATTTTACTGAGAGTAGTTGATGCTTGGAATGAACCTCCAGCAGAGGTAGTGAGCCAGTCAACACTAAATAGGTTCAAACATGCTTGGAACAAGCATAGATCTATACTCAAAAAGTTACAGAAAAAAAACAAAAAACAAAAAAAAAAAAACAAAAAAACAAAAAAAACAAAAACAAAAACAAAAAAACCAAAAACAAAAAAAAAACCCCCCCCCCCCCCCCCCCCAAGAAAAAGCAAAAAAAAAAAAAAAAACACACACACACAAAGAACGGGCAGACTTGATGGACCACTCAGTCTTTTTCTGCCATAATCTTTCTATGTTTCTATGTCCCCTTTCCTTTTCTTTTTTGCACTAGTATATTGATTGGTGTTTATTCACAGGTACATTTTATGTTTATGGCACAGGGATATTTATTTTAAGCGCTGCACTATTCTTTTTCCAATACCCATACAGCGACTGCAGCTGATTGAAGGCCGCTGACAATTTTCCGCAGGGCTCCTTCAATTTTTCAATCAAAAGATGTAGAGAGGGAGGCGGCCGAGAGGGATGCCCACTTAGCGAAGTTTATACAGTGTATGGCAGCTTTAGAACCCCTGCTGGGTTTTTACAGGTTACAGATAAAAGTTGTAACAACCAAAGTCGGCTCTTTAATTCTAGCATTAACTAAAAACATGACCAATTCATAATTTGCTTTCTAAATATTTTTTTCTAAATAGAGATCTGAATGATGAAATAGAAATACACAGAAGAGAATAAGCAGCAGATTTAGGATTCTTGCCGTTTTCAATCCTCTATAAATAGCCTCATCTCAGCAGCCGAAGCATCTCAGATTGCGTCTGGTGACACAGTCTATTAACCTTGTGTCGGCTCTTAAACCACCTGATGTCAGGACACAGAGCCAGCGCTGCTGTACAAAATGGACCAGAGTTTCCTTTTAACCTTGCTAACTCTAACGCTGACCCCAATCTCAAAGACAAAAGACAAGTGTAGAAAAAAAAAATCTTACAGGTCGTTTGACATTCAGCATTTTTTTGCCTTTCTACGTGGGAAAATATTTGCGATTCTGTTCAGTCGCTTTCATGATTCATACACCTCTGGCCCAGACAGAGGTTGAAGCCATTTTTTTTCATTAGCATGAAAGTGTATATAAACTCAAAAAGAAAAATGTAATTTATTGTAGTTTATCAGTCCTTTGATGTGATCGCTGCATTTTTGTTTTCTTTTTTCAGGCTGTAAACATTTTTAGCAGATACAGAAAATACTTGCGTGTCTTGCTACAAATGCAGTGTACTGCAGGAAAGAAGGCACAAAGCTATCTCTCTCTTTTAGGCTACGTTCACACTAGCGTTGTGTGCAGGC